AGGAAGACTGAGATGGGGAGAGGGGAGGGAGACTGAGGGGGGGGGGGAGGGGGGGAGACTGAGGGGTGGGGGAAGGGGGGGAGACTGAGGGGTGGGGGGAGGGACACCTCAGACATCATTCCCTTGTAATCCATTGAAGGACGGAGGGATGGAAGAAAGCATTCATTTAGCACTGACTGTTTGTAGAGTGCTGTAGCAGGTGCTTGGGATAGGAGATAAGTGAGACTCTCAGTCCCAGGGAGCTCCCATCCTAACGGGGAAGACGGCACGTGGTGGCACGTCCGCGGTGCCCCTTTCCTCTGCTCTTAATCTGTAGTTTTCCCAGTGCAAAGTGGGGCCTGGAGCAAAGGCATGGCTGCCTTTCCCTCAGCCCTGGTACCTTTCCACCATTACATCCATTGTTGAGTGAGAACAGAGGAGAGGGCGCCTCAGACATCCCCTCGAGCCCCGTGGTTGAGAGGGAGTAGACCAGGGACGCCATTGCTGGATGACCACAGGGGGCGTCCCTGTACCTTAGTCCATGCTGGGCTCAGAGCAGAGCTTGCCTGGATGTCCCCTACTCGTGACCGGAGCCCCAGCAGACGGCCATCCCGCCCTGCAGCTTCTCTGCTGGCTCTTGGCCTACGGTGGCCGCTCAACCCCCACCATGCACTTTCTTTAGCTCCTCCTCAGGGTCTAGGCCCCTCCCTTATTACAGGGAGAATCGGCCTCCTTCCTGCTCTGCTTTGTGGGCCAGGAAGAAGGAGTTTGACCAGACATGGTGGCCCCCCGGGGCTTCTGGCCTGGGAGTCCCCTGCCCCACCGCTAACTTGAGCGGGCATTTCCCGTCCCCAAGGACAGTGGTGCCCGGACTCCCTCTGAGCCCGGTCACTTGGAGGCGTGCTCACCTTCGGGGTCACTGTCCCACTTCCTGCAGTGTGAGCTCCACACAGCCCAGTGCTGCCCTTCCTCCAGGCCCAGGCACTTCCCCTGGCGGGGCTTCAGATTTCTCCTCTGAGGTGATGATCCTCTGGGCCTCCCCCCCAGCTCATCTGCTTCTCAGGTGCCAGACGGGCTTTTCTTGGCACTTTGCCATCGTGCGAGGACTCACCTCCGTGGCACCGTGGGCCACCAGAGGGGATGTTAGTGGAGGTCAGGATCCTAGGCTCCATCCACTCGGGTTCACGAGTGCCCTGGCCCCTCCAGGCTCTTGCCCCCGCCCTGTCCCTTCTGTCTCTCCAGATGGCTGCTGGGAGGCCTGAGCATAGATCGCTCAGGACCCTCTGGCCTTGCCTCGCTGGGTCTTCTCAGTCTGTTGCCTTCTCTGCCCTGTGACAGCTCCATGTGCTTAGGCCTGCTTGGCCTGTCCTGGCAGAGATGCCTCAGAGGCGTCCTCCTCCCCTCTATTCTTTTTTCCTTTCTAAAGAGAACTCGACTTCATCAGGAAACAGGAAGCCGAGAGAAAGAAGATTGAAGAGCTGGAGAAGGCGCATCTTGTGGAGGTCCAGGGCCTCCAGGCGCGGGTGAGTCTCAGCCTCTGGGGCCTCTAGTGGCCAGGGAGGTGAGCGCCTCCGCCTGCAGCACATCTGTCTCTCCTAGATCCATGAGCTGGAGACCGAGGTCTTCCGACTGATGAAGCAGAACGGCACGCAGGTGAATAATAACAACAACATCATGGAGCGCGGCACGTGCCTGGGCGACGGCCCCCAGGGAGAGGCTGTGGAGAACCTGGACAGCCAGCAGGTGTCCAGCCAAGGTCTGTGCCAGGGTCGGCCGGGGCGGCGCCCGAGGGAGGGGCCTCGGTCGGGGCATTGGCCGAGAAGCTTCCGTCCCCAGGCGTCTCACCCCCCTATCCGTCCCCATTCTTCTTGTTCCTGGGAGCAGCTTGGCCCCGAAAGGTCCCCAAGCTTGCTGCATCATCCAGATCTGTTCTGAACCTTCATGTGATTGGAATCCGGTCCAGTCTTAGCTCTTAAATGTTCTCTAGCTTGTGGGCTTCCTAGGCCGGGCGCTCTGGGCACAGAGCCCCCCTGGTGCTCCCAGGGGGCGGTTGGGAAGGGAGCACCGGCGACCCGGCCACCATGCGGGGACCATGACCAGGCGGTACAGGTCAGCTTCTGCCTCACATACCTCTTCAGGCGCTTCCCGTCCCCCTGGGGCCTCGTGCTCCTCTTTGTAACTTGCCTTCTCTTTCTGCTCCTGTGGGAGCCAGCTCTCCCCCTCCATTCAGTGTCCTCAGGCCACTGGCCCAGCTTCTCCTACCCCCTGCATCCCCTCTCCTCCTTTTCAGTGTCTCCTTCCCATAAAGTTCAAGCTCTGGCTTGTCATTCAAGGCCCTCCACAGGCACCCAGCCTAACCTCCACCTCCCTTTCTGTTGTTTCCATCATGCACTCCCCATTCCTGCCTTCCCATGTGGGTTCTTGCATGTTTGTATACACACACACACACACACACACACGCACTCACATGCACGCACGCACGCACACGCATGCCCCATCTATTGTATTAGTGTCCCCTGAATAGAGCAGGCCTCAGTTGCGACGAAGAGTGAGGGAGTGGGGGTGAGCCGTGGTGACAGTAACAGGGTGCAGGAAGAGTCCTGTCTAGAAGCCAATCAGAGGTTCCCCCTTCCCTCTTGGTCCCCCTGCCTTCCTCCTGCAGTCCAGTGGGCAGCAGTGTGCTGACCAGACGGGAGGGGGCAGCAAAGGGCCCTACGTGGGCAGGGGCAGGGGCGGGGGAGGCTGAGGCAGGCTTAAGAAGTGAGCATCGATTTAGGAATAAAAAATAAATCAAGGCCACCAGCAAGCCAAACTGTCCGAGAAGGCTTTGATGCTGAGTGGAAGAAGGTAGGCCATGTGCTCCTGGTGGCCCAGAGCCAGAAACTTTCATCCTGTCTGCTTGATGGGGAGAAACAGCCACCTCAGAAGCCAGCCTGCTTCTGCCATGGCCAGGGGCCGGTTGGGCCTGCTGCAGACAGATGGCCCTCCCCTGACAGGATCTGGGCCTTGTGGGGAAAGGCTGCAGCTGAGGCTAAGGCTTTGTTTTCAGGTCTGAGTCTGCCTGGGATGAAGCAAAGCCTGTTTGGGCCTAGGTTCAGGAGCACAGAGAGAAAGTGAAAAATAGGAGAGAGAGAAACTGGGAGGAGAGAGAAGGGAAGGAGAAGGGGCCAGAAGAAGAAGAAGAATTGTCACTGCACACGGTCATATCGGCTGTTTTCTTTCAGCCTCTTGTGGGAGAGTGTTGCCCTGAGAGGGAGGGGTTCTGGGTCCTGCCATTAACCAGATGTGTCACGCACACCCTCCCCACCCCAAAAATCCCAAAGTATATGGCTGGGAGGTTCCCTTGTGCTCAGCGTGGGCACTGCAGCTGTGACCTCGTGGCGCCAGCTCGGGCTGGCCATGGTATTCCAGATGTGGGTCTGGCCAAGGCAGACGAGCCCGAGACACCGTCTGTGGGCTGCCCCCATGCTGACTCACTGCGCTGGCAGTCCGTGAGACCCCCCCTTTCCCCTGCCCCGGGTGATGTGGACAAGCTGGTGTCTCTCCAAGCCTTCCTGTGTTCTGATGAAATCGATTTTGGGAACCCCCGTGTGAAGCTTGACTCTCATCCCTGTGGCCGATCCTCATGTTGAATTCAGCCCATGCTCTTCATGGCGGTGCCTTCCTGGGCTCCTGATTGCCAGCCCTCCCTAGAATTTCACAAGCAAACCGTTCTTCCCAGTCATGGCTCAGGATGTTAAACCACCTGGGGTCAAGCCCAGTCATTGTGCTTGGGGTCCTCGGCCTATTTTGCTGTCTTCTCTGTTCTGTTACACCTCTTGAATCTCCCACGTCTTCCACAAAAAGACCCACAGGGGCTCGGCGAGCGGGCGCGTCCGGCGTCAGGGGCTCGGCGAGCGGCGCGTCCGGCGTCAGGGGCTCGGCGAGCGGGCGTGCCTGGCTTTCGGTCCCTGAACGAGGAGTGCCCCTCGGCCAGGTGGCCCAACTTCATCGGGGGTGTTTGTTCCCTCTCTTAGCGGCCTCCTCGCTCATCCTACTTGCTCAGGGCACATGAATAGAGCTTCTTAATATAGGATGCCCCCCACCCATCCATGTGTGTGTCTCCAGGAAATGGAGGGCTCAGCTCAGGGTCTTCACTGTTCCTCTCTCTGGAGTCGTGGGGCTCTTTGCATTGAAGCCAATTCTTACAGCGTTCAAAGCTGTTTCTTTTACAGTGCTGATGTCACTGTATTAATTGCCTCCTGCTTCTCTTCACTGCATTCTTCATTGGTTTATAAGTCTTCAAAACGGGCCTGTTTTTAAATGTCAGCAGGGGCAGCCATCCATACGCAGCTTTCGCTGTCACTTTGAGGCTGTATTGTTCTCATTTCTCCATTCCGTTCTTTCCTCTGGTGCATTGGGATGTAGACCTTTGAAGCCAAGGTTGTACTTGGGGTGCCTTTCTTTCCGCCTCCTGGCCTGGCCTGGGTGGTTCTTCTTTCCTCGTTGCCCCTCCTTTTATAGCATCTTGAGGCCGTTCTCTCCCCCCTTTCTCAGATATACTCCATCCCTGGCCAGCCATCTGTCATCCTCTCTTCTAAGTCGTGGTCTGGAAATCCAAATCCCGTTCTCCAGGGTGTCTCTTTCTCATTCCTTGCCGACTCCCTGTGCCTCCATGCACTTCAGTTTCTTGCCTAGGACTTTGCAATCTTCAGCATGGCTTTGACCGTGTAGACTTCTTTTGGGAAGTATTTGTGATTTGTGCCCATATGAATCCCCAGGTTGTCATCATTGTGCTAGGTCTGGACACGTGCTCCTAGGAGAGGGGCAGATAGCCCACTGCCTCATCAGTGCCCCTGAATGGGGAATCCCCGACTATGATTCTCCTTCTCATCTTCCTTCTCATTTTCCCTGATGGCTATGGCCACGGCTCCGACTTTGGCTTCCGTAGCTCAGCTCTGCCATTCTCTGGAGGACATTCCATGCGGCTCCTTCCTCACCACCCTTCCCCGGTTCTTCTCCTTTTCTTCAGGAAAAGTCTCAAATTCATTTCTTCTCTCTGGGGGCAGTGTGCTTTCCTTCCTTCATCTGTGCCCTTCCCTGTCCAGTGTCCTGACAAGGGTCAAGTTACCCTCTATTCCCTGTAGATCCTTTTTCTCTCACTGGAACCCTTGACTGTGGGTGTGGGAAGGCTTTCTTCAGGAAGGAGCCCAGCCTGTGCTGGCCTCCCTCTGTGGGGGCAGGGCTCTGTTGTGGGCCATCTCCATTACCTGCAGTGGGGTAGGGACAGGACCCTTGGATCCTCAACTCAAGTTGGGAAGAAAGCCCAGAGGCTGCCACATTCAGCTGCCTCCTTTTCCAGAGGAGGATGTTGGGGCCAAGCTCACGCGTCCAAGCTGGGAGCATGTGCTTGTGCTGATCCTGTCTCCCCAAGTCTGTGGATGACTTGGGAGAATGAAAAACTCAATCAGGGGCCCAGTGGAGTGACTGGCATTGCCGCCACACTCTTTCTCCGTGTCTATTGGAAAAGGGACACTGTCAGTAAACTTTAATTGCATACCTACTGTGTGCCAGGCACTGTACCAAATGCTGAGAATGCAGAGGAAGGCAAAAGATAGTCCCTGTTTTGGGGGGAGGAGGGGATGATGTGAAAACAGCTGTGTATGAATGGGCTTAATTAGAAGTAATTACCAAAGGAAAGAGCTGGAATTAAGGGGGCTCAGGAAGGGCTTCCTCTGTAAGTTGGGGCTCTAGCCTTGAAGGATGTGAGGAGGGAGAGTACTTCAGGCATGGGGAAAAGCCAGTGAAAATTCCCAGAGTCTGGAGAAAGAGAGTCTGGTGGGAAGGCCAACCAGGAGGTGGGTGTTACCACATTGGCACACACTTGGGGGGAGGGGGGGAGGGGCAAGAAGATGGGAGGTGGGGGACGGGAAGGGACTGGCTGATAAACAGAACATTTCATATCTGATCCTGGAGGGGATAGGGAGCCATTGCAGTTTATTGAGTAGGAGGATGACATGCTCAGGCCTGGGCTTTAGGAAGCTCGCTTTGGCAGCTGCATAGAGGATTGACTGGAGTGGGGAGAGGCTTGAGGCAGGCCCCCAAACCGCTACTGCCATAGTCCAAGTGTGAGGGAATGAGGGATATGCCAGAGGAGAGAAGGGGGTGTATACAAAAGATGTTAGCAAGGCAAAATTTCTAGGCCTTGGCAACAGGTTGGACATGGGGATGAGGTGGGGGGCAGTGAGAGAGAGTGAGGAGGCTGCTGGCTGTCCTGCCAGTGGTGACTTACTCTGTAGCTACTTTGTAGCCAAGGAGTCCTCTGGATACTAAGTTCCAAGTGTAGCTGCTGTAATGTTGCCTTCATCATAGTGCCTGAAATTCTCATGATTGTGGGAGAGGAAATCCTGTGTCATGCAATGGGAATAGGATGAGAAAAAGTTCCTTCCTCAGTCACTTGTTTTATTTTTTGCATTTAAAAACCTGATTCTGAGCAGGAAGGGCCTGCCCAGGGGCCCCTTGAGCACTCAGAAGACATGGCTGTGAACCGTCCCTCTAGAAGGTACTTGCTAGAATCCTGGGGTGATGGGTAGATCACCAGACTTGGAGTCAAGAGCCCTGGGTTCAAATTCTGCTTCCAATTTTCACTAGGAAGAAGCTGTGCAATCCATTTAACCTCTCAAAGCCTTAGCTTTCTTGTCTGTAAACTGGGGGGGGGGGCATTAGTTAATCTATCAGCATGTATTTATTAATTGCCTGCTATTTGTTCGGCCCTGGGTTTTAGATAAATAAAATATGATGCTCTTTTTTTTTTTTTCCCTGGCTTTGGAAGGCTTTGGGTGAGTCAGTAAGGATTTATTAAGCCCCTAGGGGTGCTGGGCAATATGCTGAGTGCTTGGGCTCCAAAGAAAGGCAAACCCTAAACCATCCCCTCTCTCAAGGAGCATTCAGTCTGGTGGGGGGGGTGTTGAGCAGAAAAGGGAGGCGCTGAGGTGGGGCTTTTCACAGGGCCTGGCATGGCAGCTGAGAGGAGAGGAGCTAGAGAGGGAGGAGGCTGAGAATAAGCTAGGTCAGGAGCACTGGCCAGAGGTGTCATAGGCTGGTACCGTAATATCGGCACTCCTGTTGGGGGTTAAGGCGGGGCAGAATAAATAAAGCCACCTGACTTTTCCATACGGACACACAGTGCTCTTCAGAAGGAAGGGGACTGCCCTTTGCCCAACCCTCAGCATCTTGATTTGCACAAATATCCTACGATGCCTTGTAACCGTCCAGCCAGTCCCTGGGGTGGTGTGATGGTGAAAGGTTCTGTGGATGCTGGGGCCCAGCACCTTTTGCTTTGCCTACTTTGGCCAGGCTGTGATTTCAGAGGTTGCATTCCAAGCAGCAGTCCCAAGAATGGGGCGTAGGGGCCAAGGAACACTGAACAGTGTCCTCAGTGTATTGAAGTTTTTTTTTTGGCTTCATTTTAAAGAATACTTCTGAGGAACAATTAATGGTACATAATGGATAGTGTTGTCTAATGGTTAGAGCACCCCTGCTGTGGTCAGGAGACATGAGCTCCGGGCTTGGCCCTGATACCTGCTCTCTGTGTGACCCTGGGCAAAGGGGCAGGAAGATAGGAATTCAGATCCAGCCTCAGACACTCACTAGCTATGGCCTCGACTCCCCCAGCCTCAGCTTCCTCTGCCGTTTGTCTCGGTACCCAGGGGAGCCCGGGCCCAGTGTCCACCCCCTGGGCACCCACCCTGGGCCCACCTGTGGCCGCCATGGGCTCGGCTGTCATTTGCCTCGCCTGCCCGGGCCCTTGTGTCCAGAGCCCTGAGCTCAGTTCTGCTTTGTGATGACCTTTGAATGCTATTTCCTCAGACCTGAGTGAAGCTGTACCAGAGACAGAGCGCCTGGATTCCAGAGCCCAGAAAACCCGAGCCCAGCTGTCCGTGAAGAACAAACGGCCGCGGGCCCCCCGGAGCAGACTGTACGATAGCGTCAGCTCCACAGATGGGGAGGACAGCATGGAGCGGAAGGTGAGCGCGCGCCCTGCTGGCGATTTGGCCTTGGGCTCGTCGCAGGGGGCCGTCCCGCAGCAGGGCCAGCGGTTTGCCTGCTCACGGTGCCCCCTGTTGGCCTACCAGGAGGCAGGTTAGGGGTTCGATACTCTCGTGTCGGGGCGTCCCACTTTCCTCCCCTCCCCTGACCCATGTGGCCTCTGGACAGTCCCAGCCCTGCATAACCCGCTCTGTCCTCTCCCAGACCGGCGCCTTTGGGCGGCCACAGGCCACAGTCCCCTCTGCCAGCCTTGCCGACCTGCCAAAGGAAGCCCCATGGCCACCCGCGGGCGCACCATCCACCTTACCGCTGTTTCGGGGGAAGCGCTTTCCTCCGCTCTCCTTCAAAGCCCGTTCCTTCCCGCCGCTTGGCCGCCACCGAGAAGGCGGCCCCAGGAAAAGGTACCACTTCCTTCCTCCACTTCCACCTGCTCTGCACCTCTGCCTTCGGCCAGGGGCTCATCCTCTTGGGTCAGGAGGCCACGACCTCCCTGCACGGGGTGGGAGGAGGAGATAGGCCCGGGCCAGGCCTTGCCTTTAGAGGCTGGCCCTGGGAGGCTCTTGGGGAGCCAGAACAAGGCTGAGGAGAAGGCCAGCTAGAGGCTGCAGGGATCCCGGACCGAGGTCACGCGGGGTCGGCAGGACACGGGGGGGTGGGCATTTCAGCACGAGCTTGGTGACCGGGAGGGCCCAGCCTCCAGGTAGGAGCCAGGGTGCAGCTTCCAAGGACAAGGCCAGGCCTCTGCTTATCTCTCATTGGTGCCAGCTCTGTCCTGGGGTAGATCCCAGGCTAGAGTGCGGGGCGGCCCCTCACAGCGCGATTGTGACAAGGCTCGGCCTGAGGCTTCTCCTGACACCAGGAGCATACCTTGAACCGTACACACACGTGGCCTAGGGCTGCCTCAGCACGCGATGTTTCTGTCGTGTTGGATTCAGAGACTTTTCTTGGAAAGCCTGAGGGGACTGCTCAGCCTGCTGCCTGTAGGACACAAGAGGCGTGTGCTTGGGTGCCACATCGCCCCATGTCCTCTGGGCTTCCCAGGCCCCTGGCCTCCTGTCCAATTGTCCCGCTCTGACACATCAGACCGAGGAAAAGCTCTCTGCGACCAGGCTGGAATGAACCCTGCTCCAGGGGTGAGGGGTGCTTGTCCTGGGCTCGTGCATCCCCCCCAGTGGCGGGAGATGCCAGCAGGGCCCCAGCTGAACACAGCCCCCCTTCGGGCAGGCCAGCAGGCAGAGCTTCCCAGAAGTCAAGAAGACCCAAGGTCTGGGCCCACTGCTTGGCTGAGCTGGGTCAGAGCCTCCTTTCAAAGGTGGCTTAATGAGAGAAGGCCTTCAAGGAGGATGAGCTCGAAGCCAGTGGGCTCTCTGCAGGTAGCAGGTGGGAATGAGGGGACGGCAGCGCCACGGCCCTTGGACCGCCAGCTCCTGTGAATGTGGTGGCTAGCATGTTGCTAGGACAGAGGGACGTGGCTCAGGGGCAGGACTGGGCCGGGCACCCCTCCTCCCCTTCTGTCTGGACAATGGCTCTCGAGGTGTGCCAGCGTGGCCCCGTCTGTGGCCTTCCTTCCATGCCTGCTCCTGCCCTGTCCTGACTCTGAGGATGAAGGCCTCCATGAGCCATGTGGAGCCTGGGGCCAAGATGCCAGGCCTGGCAAACATCCTTTTCAGGCAGAAAAGTCTAGGGATACGCTGGGTGTGGGGGAGAGCCCCGCCTGGGTCCTGCTTGCTCCCCGACGACCGCAGAAAGAAGAAAACACAGCCTGAAAGGCTGGCGATGTCATCCCATCGGGTCCTCCCGACAACCTAGCCACTGAGGGCTCTTATCCCCATTTTACAGAGGAGGAAACTGAGCCTGGGAGAAAGGAAGTTTGCCCGGGTCACACAGCTTCTGGTAAGTCTTTGATGTGGAACTTGAACTCAGGTCTTCTGACTCCAAGCCTCGTCTTCTTACCCGTTATGGTGATAGGATCCCATCAGGATGCAGCCCCTGTGGTCTGGCCTGCGCGTGCCTGAGGCCTGGCGGAATGCACTAGAGCCCAGTCTGAGGTGATCCAGGTCGCTCGCGGGGGCACAGTAGTTTAGGGGACCTGTTGGGGTGACCCTGGACAGGTCACTTCACTGTTGGGGCCCCAGAAAATGGAAATGTGTTCTCTGCCTGAATGGAATCCTATGGCCTGACCCTCCTAAGCCCAGGTTCATCAGCACTTGCACCGTGAGATGGCGAGAAGGAGAGAAACAGCAGCTGGGGGGCTCAGTGGACAGAGCACTAGCCCTGGAGTCAAGAGGGCCTGAGTTCAAATTTGGCCTTAGATAAATTTATTAGCTGTGTGACCCTGGGCAAGTCACTTCACCCTGACTACCCCCTCCCCTCCCAAAAAAAAAGAAAAAGGAGAAGGCCAAAAATGCACATGAAGCCTCTTAGGGCATCAGTTTGTTGCTAACAGGAGAGGAAGCTGATTGGGGGGTGAGACACAGGATGGTGGGAGGGGAAACCCCTTTCCCTCCGTTGTAGGGCATTCTGTGCCAAAGGCATGAATACTGAGCCTGGAGTCAGAGGGCCTGGCTGTGAGAGGTACGCCCCCCAGATGTGAGGAGGGGATGTTGTCGACGATTTGGGAAAGGCGGGATCTGAGGGAAGTGAGCCCTGGAGGAAGATGTGGCGGCCACGATTGTGGGCGTGGCAGAGAGGATTGTGGGCCTGGGGTGCCGAAGTGGAAGGAAAGGCAGGTCCCCAAGGAAAGGGCGGAGCCTGAAGGGGCAGATCTGAGGCTAGGAAGGGATGAAGATCCTGGGTCCTTAGGCATGTTGGAGGCTAGAGGGACCCCTGAGGAGGCAGAAAGTGCTTCTGCTGTTCAGAGAGCTCGGCCCCAGGGCGTAGGTGAGGAGTGGCCAGCAGCATCTCCGGCTTCTCGGTGGGGTCCGGTCCCTAGGCTTGCGTGAACGGCCTGGTTGGCCATTGGAGCACGCGATGACCGAGTTGCTTTGGGTGACATCTTGTGAGATCTCGGAAAACAAGCAAAGGCACCAGATGTCATCCTGATTTCCAAAAGGAGTATGGAAAGGATGGTCAGTGAACTCACCATCCATCCTGGCAGAACGCTGAGGGCTTCATTAAAGGGATGGTTTGTGAGCCCTTGGAAAGGGAAGCTGTGGCCAGGGAGGGCGCGCAGTCAGTCCTCCAGCAGCCAAGGGCCTGCTAGTCAGCCCGGTTGCTGGGGCCCTGGTGTGGATATAGGTGGAAGTGTTCTTGTGTGGGGATTGTTTTCTGTTCGCGCCCCTAGGGGGCGCACCTCAGCAGGAACTAGTACGTAGCATACCCTTACTTCGTGCCCATTGATGGACTTTGGCAGGGTGTCTAACATGTTTTGGGGTGCTTATGAGCCAGATGCCATATCAGTGCACATTACCTGCCTACCCCAAATTAACAAAAACGACGCAAGAACGCTCTAGGTCATAGGAGAAAACCCTGGGGAGCTCTCGGCGCGGCTGGCCCACGGACCCTCCACTCCACTCGGAAAGGTCTACGTTTTACAGACGCTGCGCCTGCTGAGTGTCAGAAGGCTGAAAAGAACAGAGAGGCCTGCACGCTGCTCCGGAAGGATGACACCAGGCTAACCCTGGCCCAGAGGAGGCCTGGCCCTTGGGGAGCAGCCCTGCCTTGGGGAGCAGCTCTGCTCCAGGGCTCCTGCTCCACCAGCCTAGGCGAGGTGGCCCAGCCACGTTTCCAAAAACTCTGTCAGTTTTTCCATCCATAACCCCGTGTTCTGGCCACGTTGTGGTGTGGAGGCCGGCTGCCCCGTGGCTGCAGCGTGTCCCAGCAGGGCTGTGGCTGTGTCCCAGGGCCGGCTGAGCTGAGATCAGACCGAGAGGCTCCACCCTAAGGCAGGCCACACCATGGCCTCCACTGGCTCTGGGCTGGGAGGGGTGAGGAACAACACCACGTGGAGAGGCCAGACGTGGCCAGACGTGCAGGGACCCCTCCCTGACTGCCCACCCTCCTCCTTGCAGGACCTAACCTGCTCTTTTTCACAAACAGGGTCTTCAAAGACAGGCTGCCGAGTGTGGAGCCTGAGCCGCCTCCCGGAGTGCAGCCGCCCGCTCGGCCGACTCGCGCTCCCTTCTCATGGTTTAGTGCCCGCAGAAAAGGACCCCACGGCTCCCGAAACCGGCCAGCACCTGCCACTGCCCCTGAGCCTCCTCCTGGGCAGCCCAGCTCAGATAAAAAAGGGGCCAAGGTAGAAAACCTGGGCAGCAAAAAGCCAGACTAGAACCCCACCTTCTCCTTTTCACCTTAGTGTGGCTGCCCCGGTTGCTGATGCCCAGGACTGGTGGTGTGGGAAAGGCCTCCTCTTTTCCCCCCTTCTCACTGCCCCTCCCCTCCCCTCCCTTCCCTTCCCTCTTCCTTCTCTCCCCTCCCCTTTTACTCTCCCTTCCTCTTCTCTTTCCCTCCCCCCTCCCTTCCCCTCCCCTCCCCCTACTCTCCCCTCCCACATTCCCCTCCTCTCCCCTCTCACTTTCCTTCTCCCCTCCATCTCCTTCCCTTCCCCCTCCTCTCCCCTGCTCTCCCTCTCCCCTCCCCTCTCACTCCCCC